CAATGATGTACCTGCCGGTAGAGTGAATACTTTGAGGTGTAACCTGCAGAATGGGATCACTCAGCCTTTTGTTGATGGATAAACCACCCTGTGGCCGGGACTTTGAGGTGGAGCAGAACTGATGTAATGAGAAAGTAAACAGTCTCTGGTGCCTTGTGCACTGAGCAGGCAACCTGAATACCGGCCCTTATCATGCCTGTGACACTGCCGGCTCGTAAGTGACACCAAACAGCAGCTGGCTGCCTCATCTGTTTTAGATTTTTTCGGTGTGTGAAAAATCAGGCAGTCTCGTTTAAAAAACAATTTATAGTACTTCTGTAATTTCCGCTGCCTTCTTTTTCTATATACTTCATGTAGGAGAATAATGATATGAAAAAGATTTTCTCAAGTCCAAATTTAAGAAAATTTTTCCTTCATAAGAAAATATCCATGAAAACCCTTGTGAACAGTTCCTTTAAGCTCTTATGCCATTTCCCTGGAAATTGTCTTTTGTACTGACTTTTCCTCCCGAGCGTCCGTCCTTTGGCAACGCAGCCCCGTGTCATCTCTAGGGTCCCCCAGTGTCTTACCTGTTCCTGCAGGTGGCTGATGCTTTCCTCGTACTGCGAGTAATCCTTCTTACTGCCCGGATCTCTCTGCTGATGCCACTTCAGGATGCGGCTTTCAAGCTTCTCGTTGGCCTCCTCCAGGGCGCGCACCTTGTCCAGGTAGGAGGCCAGGCGGTCATTGAGGTTCTGCATGGTGGCCTTCTCATTTCCACCCAGGAGGGAACAGCCTCTTCCTGGCCCCCAAGACCCCCCAGGAGGTGGGCAGCTTGGCGTGGTGAAGGAAAGGGAGACGCGGACACCCCCCGCGCCGCCATGGACGCTGGGCGCCCGGGGAAAGCTCCTGGGCTGGCCCCAGCCACTGCGGGTGCCAGGGAGGGAGCCCAGCGGGGTTTGTCTGAAGCTGTGGCTGGAGTTCATGGTCCCATCTGTGCTTGGGCAGGGCGGGGCTCTGCTCTACTCCCTGGCACCACAGAACTGAGCTGCCTCAGACTGCCCTGGATGGTTTTATGCCCTTTACTGTGGGAGTTCCCTTCTCTGACAATTGTACCAACAAGATCATATCATTGTGCAACAAGTGTTTCCTCTTGGTCAATCCCGAAGTGCCCCTGGGCCTTTACACACGTTGTTGTTGTTTAGAACCACAGCGATATGACAGTTCGCTTCCTGCCTTCCACTTGTAACCCGGAGGTGTGGCCCATGACATCAGGTGGGTATTAGTCTCAGATGTCTTGCCGTGGAGTTTTTCCATTGTACATTCATGCGAAAGGGTCAGATTAAAGTCCAGGAGAAGATTATCTGGTGTAGCAAAGATTGTTCTTCCAGAAAACAGCTGTGAGACACACAGATACACACATCCTCTCCTCGCTCCAAATAAACCAGCCCCAGGTCTAAAGGGAAGGGTGAGAGAGACTCCTAAGGGGAGAGCCAGCTCAGAACAGGGGGCCAGGTCTCCAGAAGAAACTTCTTGGGCTGAGGAAATAACAGAAGATTCCGAGTATCTGATGGCTTTGTGGCAGTTGCTGTTAATGGAAAGTAATTTCAAAGGACTGGCTCTTAAGAACAAACCCTCAATTATAGTTATAATTAATTAATGAATGGCCGAGCCTTCTGCTTCCAGGGTGCCTTTCATCCCAGCACACCTCAAAACCAAATGCCCCTGGCCTGTGCTCAGGGAACTTCCCTCAGCACCCGGGAAAGAAAGCAGCTTCGGTCAGCAGCCCCTTCCCCGGCTGAGCCCTGCAGTGTCTGTCCTCCCGCGGAGGAACAGTGGAAAACAGGAAACGTGCCACAGGTTGTCAAACGTGCTTGATGAATCTTCCGCTCTGTCTGCCAAGGTAAAGGTTACAAGGAATAAAGAAGTAGTCTGGGGGCGGGGGCCACGTGCTGGTTCCTGGCAGCTAGATTTAAAGGGGACTTGGAAATAAAGTATCAGCCGTTGGAAGGGCCTTTAGCCTTCCTCATTCTAAGCCACTGATTTGACAGATGAGGAAACCGAGGCCTGTGAGGGGTGGGTATGATGAGGACAAACTATGGGTTCGAGGCAGAGCCAGGGCAGGATTCTTTCTGCTACAAAGTACTGCTGTCTTGACTTGAATCTTGATGAGGGGGTCCTATGTGACACTTCCCTTTCATGATGAATTGACATAGGTCTTTGATTTCTTACTTAATCCCACAAGGATTCAGTGTAGGTGGGCAAGGCTGTTGCCCCTATTCTGTAGTTAAAGGATCAGGAGCTCCTAGGGGTGAGTGATTCAGAGCTGATTTGCATGCATGGTGTAATTGAGCATATGAATTTATAGCTGTCACTGCCTGAGTCTGTATTGTCCCTTCTGCCTGCAGAGCCACTCACGCCTGCTTCTCTTGTAGTTCAAGATTGACCTCCATCAACGATCATTTTCTAAATGCTTTTATACGCATTGGGTGCCCCTTTTAGGCAGAAGCTGCCTCTCTGGATTCCAAACCCTCCAGAGGGACAGGCAGCTTGCTGTCCCCACTCCATGGGGGATGCTGGGAACTGCCAGTCAGGCTCAGCCACCTTCTGTGATTTTGATGAAGCCCACCCTGTTCTCTCACCTGCCACTTCACACTGCAACTGTCACACTCCTCTGAGACTGCGGGCTTCTTCTTGAAAGGAGGGACATGTCTTCCATCTTTCAGGCACCAAAGTCTGGCTTCTTGAGGGCATTTTGTAAATGTGTGGTAACTCAGTAATGAATGTTTTAGAGTCAGGATTTTAACCTAGGTCCTCTGATGCCATCACCTCCTGCTCCTCTTTAGGACTATGAATTATAGAAACCAGACAGTAGGAGAAAACCTCTCTGGGAGTGGGCCAGTCATCCACGGAGGGGGCCAGCCATCCACCAAGACCAATCTACTTCCAATTACAAATAAACCCCCCAGAGCACACCAGCCCTGCTCCTCTTGCCCTCACACCAAAACCTTACCAAGGAGAATCTTCTGGATCTTTTTCATCTCTCTATGCACATGCTGGGAAAATTTAGCCAAGACTCAAGGAAGCCTGGGGGCATGCTTAGAAGGGGTGCCTATGGTCACGGATACCCCTGAAGGAGAAAAATACAAAAGAGAGGCATGATATAAAGACAGTAAGTGAGGGAACCGTAGAGACCGTTTAGCCGTGATGTGGCAAGCAGTGTTCTGATGGATGTGGATGGTTCCTGGATGTCAAGGTCACGGTCGCCTCTAGTTCCTGTTTACTCAGGCCAGCCTCATGAAGGAAGGCAGCATGCAGCGGGAGTGTGGACAAGGGTACGGCTGCACACCTTTTTCTTACACTCTCCCATGAATATCTACAATGGAATTGATGCCCCCTGCTCATTTGAGGTGCGTGTGACTTATTAACCCCATAAATTGGGCCCATGTCTCATTTTATGTCAGTGTGTGGGAGTTTGATTTATAAGGGTTACCCCTGAACAAAATATTTCTTGTATCTTAGCAGGACCAGGGTAGGGAAAAACTGGTAGTGAGATTTGAGAGGGCTAGGGAAGAAAAAAAAAATCACTTCTCATGTTGTCACACAACGATTTTCCTTGTAACTTCTAATGCCTGGGGTGCCACTGGATTTTGAAAGAATAAGAAAGTATAAGAGAAAAGATTAAAAAAAAATTCTACCACGTAGATGTCAACCACTGGTCACATTTGGTGAACATTTCAAACACTCTCTGTGTCTATACTGGAAAACATCAGGACGGCTATAGAACAATTGCAGAAACAGGAGTTCATCCAATTTATTCCATTTTTGAAAGAATGAAGTTAATTAAACATTTTTTTAATTAATGAATGAGAAACAAAAATGAATTCACTTTAGTTATATATTTTTGCAGAATTTTAAAACTTTTATCACATTCTTTGAATTTTAGAATTTTAAGGAAAGCAAAGACAACCTGTAAATGCCAATATTTGTGGAATTGCAGAACTGAAAAGAGGACCAACAACAAGCCATTTGTTGTAGCCTTCTGCTGTGTTAGGTAGGCCAATGGCGGATAACTGAACTTATTGTTAAAGAACTTGAGGGATGAAAGCTTGGGTTGCTTTCTCAGTAGACGTCCAACTTTTCTCTCTTTCTTTATTTCCCTTCCTCCCTTCTTCCCTTACTTCTTAATGAGCATTTCACCTGCAATCTGGTTTTATGATTTTTTTTTTTAATTTCTTCTGAATTGTTCAGAATCAAAATGGTTCTCCTGTGACTTCCTGGCTAAAATATTTTTTAATTGAAAGATTTTTCTCACGTGGCTCATCTTTCTGACGAACTGAGATGTCATTAAAAGGGACTGGGTATTCTGTAGCAACGGTTGGGTGGTGAGTGAATGAATGGGGTTGCCTGCAGGCACATCAGAGGTCAGAAGGGAGCGTCAACCGTAATTGTCATTAGCTGGGAGCACAGTCTGTTTGTGCCTTTTAGAGATAATCACTCCATCACTGGAGTGTTTTATAAGCACCTCTTCTTTATAGAGAGGGAAGAATGGCCAAAATGACTCCCAAATACATTTTTACTATGCATGACGGTTCAAATTGGATGAGAAGTAGGTCTTCAGGCAAAATTACCATGTCATTATCCTATGATTTTGAGGGTTGCAAAAAAGATTAGACACTCATAGAGATAACACACTGTACCACCAGGTCAGACATTTTATAAGGCCTCAGTTTATCAAATTGTGGCCAAATGAAACAGAGAGAAAATTATTTTCTCATATTTCTATTTGTTTAGGGAAAAGTGGCCAACAGATAGAAGATTTGAGCTAGAAAGTATTCAATATAGTATATAGAATTAGGAGGAAAACAAGAGTCAACTTAAAGTTGCTTCTAAATAGTGTCTAAAAATAATTTTAAAAGCCACATATAGGCAAAAAAGGTTTTAAGATCATAGGAGGAAGTTTTCTCAAATGGTAGGTAGGTAATAGACAACTCTAGTGGGTACTCTTCTTAATTTGATTTTTTAGAAGCCAGAAAGAATTGGGAAAGGATTCAGAAGTACAGGGTCTTATAAGTGACCACCAACAATGTGGGACCTTAAGGGAAGAGTTAGGGAATGTGAAGAGGCAAAATCCGAATAAAGAAAAGAAAAGCAGATTTCAATTAAATGAGATTTGTGTTTATAGAATCCAGATCAGCAAGTGTTTTTCAAGGCCCTAATCTGTATTAATATAGTTTTAAGTGATTTGTATACACGCACACACGCACACATGCACCCACCCACATACACACGCATGCATGCACACACACACACACCTGCATGCATGTACACACACACACACACACCTGCATGCATGTACACACCCACAAATAAAAGATGTTTGCCGCCTGAGAACAGCTGCCTACTTATCCTGCTCTTTAGCTGTAAGAGAGCAGAAAGGCCAGGCCTCTGGCTGACTCACCTTTCACTTCTCAGTATTTCTAACTAAAGGCAGGGCCTCTATAAATGTTTGTCAAGCTTGGTCTTGGGAGGAATATGAAGCAGTAGTGGATTGCGTGGAATAGACTTAGTAAGACAGATGTGAGAAGAAAAGAAAGATGCCTGTGAGAAGATATGGTCGAAGGTGACAAGCTCCTCAAAGGTGTGGATATGGAAGGCCAGAGACTGGCACTTGGAGGACTGTAGTTATCTGGAAAGAGCAGGAGGTCCCAGGTAGTGGAGTTAGAAAGAATAAAAGGAAAGGAAAGACAGGTCATGTACAGTCCCCCAGGCTGGAGTGCAGTGGCTTGATCATAGCTCAAACTGCAGCCTCAAAAAAAAAAAAAAAAACAACAAAAAAACCCCCCAAAAAACTGCAGCCTCAAACTCCTATACTCAAGCGATCCTCCTGCCTCAGCCTCCTAAGTAGCTGGGACTATAGATGTATGCAATCACACCTGGCTAATTTTTAATTTATATTTTTGTAGAGATGAATGTCTCGTTATGTTGCCTAGATGGGCCTCTGTCTCCTGGCCTCCAGTGATTCTCCTGCCTTGGCCTCTCAAAGTGCCGGGATTCCAGATGTGAGCCACTATGCTCAGGCCCCATGTGATTTTTAGAAACATGTTCCTCTGATTCCTGCATTT